AGAGGCAACTCCCCTTGCTTTAGTGGGCAGGGGGAAACCCCATGAAATGTTACGACAAAAAAGTGGAAAAAAGTCGAACGTTGTGTAATTTATTTAAATTTAAGGAGCACTTCAGCAGCAGTTCAGGGAGTCAAGAGTTCTTACTGATGTTTCTGGAGTACGGCGACACTTTCTACCCCTTTTTGCAACCTCTTTGCATATTGATTTCTTGCGTAATCTTTGTGGCACGCCCACACCTAGCCCACTCCCCATTCTCCACACTCCTTCCACGCTCCATTCTCCGATAGTGTCGTTTTGCCCTCACACCCTCCATTGACGCTTTCATATTTATTAATGAGGCGCATTTGTGTTTGGAATTTATAATTGGGGCAAGTAGCTTGGGGAGGGGGTGTTAGCCTCTACTGAGGGCAGCGGGGGTGGTGTGGTAGGTAGGCTCAAAATGTAATTGAGTAATTAACATAAATTATAATACATAATTTTGGGCGCTAGGCCTTTTTCCATAATTGTTGTTAGGTAAAATTGGATTACACACAGTCATGGGGAAAAATCAGCGGAGGGGGGGGCAAAAACTTTTCGTGCATTCACATAAATGAAAATTATTGTTACAGCGGCCACCCCGCGTGTATTCTGCTTCAAGGAATGGAAATGCTTACTGCGATAAGCAATTTATGCTCAAAGTTTCGCATCCGCTGCAAAAGTTTTCTCAACCATTCTGTTTGCGCCTCAAAGCCTCTCTCAATCGGGGAAACTAAAATCAAAATCTGAACAAACTCTCAATCAGAAATCACAGCGGCAAGAAGTGCTGGAGAATGGTGACAAGAGAGTGGCATGCAACATCATCAAAAGCAATGGAAACACGAGCTAATGAAGGAAATAAATGTGAAAGATGATTGACTTTCGAGAGCGGCGGGCAAACTTAATAATTTCTGACATTTCGCAGATAAGATTCAGGAAATATTCAGCGAATGATACATATAAATGATGGAATGGTTTAACTTTTAGAGAAAAGTAAAGCACTGAACAATCAAAAGTTACAATAGAAATATTAACTGAATTCTTGATAGCTCAATTCTGAACTAATTCAGGAATAGTATAAATAGATTGGTTGCCCTGCAGTCTTAAGAATATTAAAAGTGCTAAAAAAAAAAAACTTTATGGTTTGATGGACATTTAATCTATGCAGTAAATTTCCCGAGCTTAATGGAATATATCGGTGAAAAGAATGACAGAATAGGTGAGCTCAGCAAAAATTTAAGTAAGCCATTTTCTTTTGAAAGCTTTATATAATAATATTAAATTAACTTTTAAATTAAGGCCTTTTTTCTCTAGGCATATCTAAGCTTCTCTGATAATATCCCTAAGCTTCTCCATAGTAAGAAAACTGAAAAATCGTATTCATTTAATAAACGTTCTAGCTTCATGGCTTTGCAGTTGCTTTTTTTTTTTGACTCCTTACTAGTCAAGTTATATCTCAATCCCGCAATCCTCCATTCCAATACATTCCATAACAATAAACCCTAAACAGGGTATCACTTTCTCCCCTCAACACAAATAAAAAAAAAAAGAAAAACACTTTTCCAACGCACAGGCCCGCACAGAATCGCTTCAGCTTGGTGTGTGGCTCCTGCTGCTGCTGTTGGATTTTTCTTTCCTTGTTTTTCCTGGAAAAGAGTGGAAAGAGTCCAAAGGGGCAGGCAGTCATCCGTCAGAAGTTAGCAGCAGCAGCAGCAGCAGCAACCCTGACGCCATGTTGAATTTTCCTATGTGCTGTGGCGGCTCCCATGTTGTGTCCTGTATCTCTGTGACTGTATGGAGTATCTGTGTGTGTGCGGCTGTTGATGTATCTGTGTCTGGTTCTGGTATCTGCTTCTGAATCCGTTTTTGCCTCTATCTTTGGCTCTTTCTCTGCTTCTGTTGCCGGATTTCATCCCACCTTGTTGCTGGCTGTCACACACACAGAAAACCAAACACACACATCAAAAGCATCGCTGACAAGGCTAACGCTGCTGGGATTTCATCTGAAGGATTCTGGGGGGATTCTGTGCATAATTTTGCGCCTTGTTGTCGTGTTTCATGCGAGGAAGCTCGGGAGTCCTGGCATCCTCGCATTTATGTGTAAAATGTAAATAAATACGACAACAGCAAAAAAGGAAACGCACTTTTGTTTAGTTAGTTATGTTGACTTAGGCGGAGTTTATGCGGCAGAAAAAGAAATTAAGAAATTAGCAGAGAAAATATAATACGAAAAATAGTATTAATCTTTGGGAAATATTCTTAAATTGTAAGCCAAACATTATTCGATACATTTAAGGTGATTTCCTTTCAATATCTTGATTTTGTCTCCGCATAAACTTCATCAAAAGTGCGTACAGTGAGGGCCTGTGCGTCTGGCATTGAGTGTTCCGGGTTCTGGTTACATCGTCAACGCCTCGAGGAAGGCTTCCATCTTGAAACCTCACCCGCCAAAGGGGTTTTGGACTCCGCCCCCATTTTTACCTATTCCAAAACACACTTTTGTCGAGGCACAGGGCCAGGGACCAGGACCCAGACTAGGGCTATAGCCTCCCCCTTATACCTTTCTGTCTTCCTTCAAATTGTCAAGCGTCAAAAGTTTTGATAGCCTCTGTGAGCAGCCTACTAAAGTGACTGCCCGCCAGCCCACTTTGAATTTTCGAACCATCTCTTCGTGAGTTTTCCCCCCAAGAAAATGGTGGAGAAGTACCAGCAGAAGCCAGTCCGCATTTTTCATCTTTAGTTCGGTGGGGGCGAGGCTGGGGGTTGCTCACAACATTTTTAACACAAAACTTTTATGTAAAATGTCTTCCCAGATAAAAGTTTAAATTGTCAATTGAAAATGTTTGTTGGGTAAAAGTTTTTTTGATTAATTTTCACAACGCAGCGATGACAATGACACGATGGGTAGGAGGGTGAGTAGGGGAGGTATGGATAGGCACGAGGCAGAGGCAAACAATTGAGCACATTAACGCTTAGAGATACAAAAGAACGGAGACACAAAACAGATAGAAAGAGAGCGAGAAAGATACATAGAGAGAGAGAGAGAGAAGCACTTGCGATTTGCATGTGAAATGTCTTTTCAAATAGAATTTAATGACAGAAAACAACAAACAAAAAAGTGAAGAGCAAATAAATTCTGTAATAAAATCAAGGAAACTCTTTTTATGTTATTTTCTGTATTTGATTTCCAGTTTTATTTCTTCAACTTTTCTTTCAAGATATGAGAAATTCGGAAAAGTAGCATCATAAATAATGATCATAACTAATAGATGGAAAAATCTGGTTGCAATCATTTTATTATTATAGAGTAAGCTAGAGTAAAAGAAACAAGTTCTCGTTTTGGCTGTTGGAACGACTGGCTTTCGCACGAGCTTTTGCGATTTCTTCATACTAATTTTTTTATAACATTTTTTTGCTTTATTTCATTGTTTCCGTTTCCCTAATCTCTAGCTATTTCTTTAATCATACTCTCTATTTAATTCCCACTGTGCTTTCATCTGTTTTCTTTCCATTCTCTCTCCATTTCTGCACGTTTTATCCAGCCTAAAACCTTTCTCAAACTCATTGCCACTTGGTCCGGGGCTGTGGCTTCCTCCTTCCCGTTGATTTAGTGCTCGAAAAGCCATTTTGTACAATTTCCACTCGATTGATTTCGCAAATTTTCCGCCGCAGAATACAGTCCGCAGGCCATACAACCATACAACAACTCCCCAACATCCAAAGAAATTACCCCCAGAAGCAGAAACAGCAGCAGCAGCAGCAGGTTCCTACACTTGTAATGCCTTTTGCCCTGTAGCCACAATTACCCAAAAAGCCGAACTTCCAATTCCACAGTCCCCAAAAGTCCCCAAAACACACCCCCCACATGCTACATGCTACTTATTCGTGGGGGCGGCGGGTGTCGAATGGGGTTGGTTATGTGGGTGCCTGCCTAGGACTTATCGACTCGTAGATATCTCCTCTGGTAATGCAATTAAATCGCTACCCAAACATTCGTTTGGTTCGGTTCGTTCTGCTGCTCGTTGGGGTAATTCATAAATATTTTATTTGGCCATCACACCCTTTGACCTGCTCCATAACTTTCGGTCAGAGAAGCAGAGCAGGACATCAACATACGGGAAAAGAAGAAGGAAGCTAGAGATACCCTTAAAGATCGATTGTTTTCATGGATGGAAAGACGAACGAGTGGGATATCAGCGAGAAAGACCAGAAACGAGTAAAACAGCAACGAGAATGACCAGAAACGATGATAGAAACGAGTGTGAAATGCACAGCAACTAGAGTAATGATAGAAACGATTAAGATATCAATAAATATGCCGTCAACAAGTATTAAAGCCCCGAGTATGATCTGGAAAAAGTTGCATCTCTCATTTTTCTATAGAAAAATAAAAACAAAAGTAAATCTGCGCTGAATAAAAGCTTCCTGCTGCTCCAAATAATAGTACCCTTTGCAAAGGGTATCCATAACAAAAAATAATGGCAGCCATGATAGCCATGGCTATCGTATTGCTACGTTCCCTGGCTTCATTATTACTTAACGCCCAAGCAAATTGCTTTTCCAGGACCACGACCAGGACTTTCTGGATTCGCTTGTTTGTCCATCACATTAGAGCTGCATTGAGTTTCCGGTTCGATGTTTTCTCTCTCTGTGTGTCTGGTTTCTGTGTCCCCCCACAAAAAAAGGGTTAAAAAGGTGCGGTTTGGCCAAGAGTCGACGCGGTTTCAACCCTCAAAAAAGGATAGGGAAAATGGACACCAGCTGCATTTGCTTTTGGCTGGTTCTTGTTCTCTTCCTTGTTTGCTCTTCCTGCCGGTTAGGACTTCCTTCCTTCCAGCCTTTCTTCTAGCCTTCGCTTCGCTTTGATGTGCCAGAAATTAATTGCCTACAATTAGGCGCCCGGGCAAATGTCACTCACACAGCTCGCAAGGGCACGAGCAGGCACACAAAGAGTGGGGGTTTTGGGTAAAATTTTTGACACTTACCGTTCGGTTCCTGTTGTTTTTTTTTCGGTGGCTTAAAGGCTTCCAAACAAAAGTCGCCTGCAACGAAAGAGGAAAAAGGAAACGATGTTTGTTAGTCCAAAAAAGTTTCGAGATGCGGAAAATAGACTCCTGAAAGCCGAGAAAACACATGCCATTACATGCTTCTACTTTTCCGTGTAGACTTGTGGAATGTCTGGCCATGTCACATGCCGCCTGTCCACTGACCAGTCAGGCCAGGAAACCCTTGGGCCGGCTCCTGCGCCAAGACCTGTCCCCATAACCAGTCTTAGGACCAGCTTTAACAACGAAAAACTTCCCACAAAGTTTCCGTCGAGTGCCTGCTTTTGCCTAATGAAAAGAGTCTGTCATTGACTGCGAGGAAATGGAAAACTTTTCCATAGACCACCACCTCTCCCCATCAAAAATAAAAGTGGTAAGATGCTTGTCCAGTTATGGCCTGTGACAGGCAGTTACTTTGGTTATTTTTTTGCTTTATACCCTGGACTCGAAGATTACTATGGGGGTATATTCAATTTTATACCCAATTTTAAAGATATGCGAAGCATAAAGAATGACTATCTATTACATTACAGAATCTGACTGTAATCGGCTCATTATTATAGTCAGTATGAACAAAACAATGCCCATTTGGCTGTTGGATTCCATCTTAAAATCAACTTTAACAAGGAAAAAAATAAACGAAAAACCCTAGTTCCCATAGAAAAAATATTATTATAAATAAGAATGCATTCCTCTAGTTCATAGTGCTTCATAATTCCCAAATAACTTGCTCTGTTCCCTTTTCCCATCATTGCAAAATGGCAATCATATCGTATCTATATAGATCTTTTGCACAAAAGCCCTCAAATTGAAATAACCATTTCGCACAGACAGAAAAAGTTGTTTCGTGCCAAACAGAAATTACATTTACGTTGCTACTGAATTATTTGTGGCCAAGAGCCGTCGTGCTTCTCCCCCAAAGACATTCCTAATGGCGCATGGCGCAAACTGACCAACAGATAGCGAGAAGGAGAGATTTATTATCAACTGTCATTGTGGCAAGGCCCACACACGCTCTAGACTCGTATTTGTATCTGCTCTCTTGGCATCCCAACAATCATCATCTATCCCGCAGTCTCGCCTCCCTCTCTTTCTCCGCAGAAAAACATTTGTTATAATCAAAAGTTCTTGACTTGTGCTTTGATTTCTCTGTTGGAAAAAGAAACGCAACTTTTGTTGGAATACTCATACTGGTACTCGTAGTTTTTCCTGATTTTCCCCATTTGTTTGGCTTAAGGTTGACAGTTCAATAAGTTTTGGGGGAATTCCTTCTTTAATTTCCATAAATAAGGTTCTTCCTTTTGCTACCTGAAGGAGGCTACTAATTACGCATACGCAACGGTGTCTTACGGTACAACTTTCGTCTTGTGGCTAAAAGTTCCTTAACCTAATGCCATTTCCATTTCCGATAACTTCTACTGCTGCATTTCCCACACACACACACAAACACACACTGTTGACATTTTTTGGGCAAAAATCCTTTGCCCTGCCAGGCCATATATCGTTTTAACATAATTTCTGTGGTAAAATTAACTTTATGAACTGTTGAATGAAACGAGAACGAGAAACGAGAACCAGGACGAGCTTCGGCAGAAGCAGCAGCAATAAGGAAGCTCCTTGCCTCGGAGCTAGCGTGCCGTCTCTCACAACCTGCCACTTAAAACAAATAACAAAGTTTTGCTTAACTTTGCGGCAAGTCGTCCTTTCCCCCCGCCGTCCCTCCCGGCGGCAGAAGCAGCAGCTCTTGGGGGAAATTATGGCCAGACACAAAGCGAAAAGCGTCGTCAACGACATCGTCCTCGTTGGTCGTGGTGCTGGTGGTGGTGCGGCTTTTGTCTTGGCAGGGAAAATCATCGACAAGGACTCCTGTCTGGAAAAAGCTTCTCTTCTCTGCTGATGGCAAAATTACATATGAAAGTGGATTTCATTAAAAAGAAGTTGCCTGCAGAGCGAAATATGGCAAGTGAAAGACATTTTTCGCCGGAAAGGCGGAGGCTTGGGCTTGCCAGCCGCCAGCTTAAGGCGGCTCTGGTTAAAGTAGCTTTCGGAATTTGACAGGCAGGCAGAAGGATGAAGGAAATAATCCTGCAAGATATTTCTACAATTGGTAGAACAATTTACTTGAGTTTCGTTGCAGAAACTGCAGAAATACTCTTCAAAAATCGACGCATTTTCTTCCCTTCAGTTTCTTTAGCTCAATTTGCATCACAAGAACTTTTCCTTACTTTGGGTATGCCTCTCCTGCGCGCTGTCACAGGTGGCGATGCCATGGCGACGGGGCAATAAGTTAATGCAAAATAGTTGGACCGTCTCTTACAGGATCAGGATTACTAAGCTACAAAAGAAAAAGGATAGGAATTTCAATCAAACAAAAAAGCATTTTCCGAGACGCCGCTAATTGGCTCTGTGCTGATCCACAGACAGGTCATCAAATATCATTATCCGTAAAGGTGTAAAAAGCAATCCTAATGAGACAACAGACAAAAGCCGGCCTTGCCCCCCCTCAACAATTGGCTGCAATTTCCACGTTTATGGCAATTTTGTTAAGCAATATCGTGGTGTTATGTGCGGAAAAAGCTTTCAACCGCTTTAGTGGACGTTGGGGGCGGGGGCAGGGCATAAAAACGGCGCCAACTTCAAGCCCAACTTCATGAATTTTGAATGAACGCAGAAGGCACAAACTAATGCCAGTCTTTTGCACCACTCCCACACGGCAATGGCCAGAAGGAGGAGTGGAAACCAGGAAGGAGAGCTAGATTTTGGGGAATCGAAAGTGCAGATACCCTTGAAGATGCAAAGAAACTAAAGAATAAAATATGCAAAAAAAAAAACCCACTAAAGAACTTTCTAGCAACTTTGCTTTTCCAAAAATCCTCCTAAAATCTTCGCTAAAGCTTTTCCCTTTTTTATTCTCTCACCCTCTCCCAGTGAGGCTTAGCTCACACGAAAAAAAGCGCATCACCTCTTCTACCCTCCGTTTTTTAGGGTATTAAAAATGGAGAGCGTGGAATGGACCATTTTCCTGCTGACACAAGACATGGAGGAGCCATCGTTGTCGTTGGGGTCGTTTGCCGACTTCCGGACGACTACTTAGAGACGCCTAAACAGCTTCATTACTTTTATGGGGCTGACGGGCGGGCAAGCGCTTCATTGTCTGTCTGTATGTCTGTTTGGCTGTTTGTCTCTGGCCAGGGCGCAAATTTGTTTGTGTAAATTAAATGAAATGACTGTAAAAATGCCAAATAAGCTAATTTGCGGTTAGTTTTTTTTCTGCAAGGCTCTTTCTTGCCTGTGGGTCCTTCATACTTTTTTGAGTTATTAGTTCATTAGTTGGAAGGACGCTTCCTTGTCCCTTCAAACATTATCAATCAAAGGGAATAACAACAAAATGGCCCTCTGTCATTTGCTCACTTGTGTGGAGGTCTCTTCATGAAATGTTTATAAGCCTCAAACAGTGCAGAGCAAGAGTGCCCCTCCGTACTTCCCCCCCACCAAAGGGGTGTCCATTCCCGTTTCCGTTCCCGTTCAAGCTGTTGTTGCGGTCACCATCCAGCGCCCCCTGTCTGCTTGGGTTGGTTGGTTGGTCATTTTCCGGACTCGAACTCCACTACTCTCCGGTTGCATAGTAAATGCAGACAAGTCTTCCTACCATTTTCCATTTTTCCCCATTCTGGCACTTTGGTTATTTTTCCTAGCCTGGCCATGAATTTTGCATTAGAGTTTAGTTAAAGTGCAGCTGGTGCGAATCCCAACAGCAAGCGGGTGTAGTAGGGTATGAGATATAGTTAGCGGCAGCGTACGGAATTGATATAGCAAGAATGCAAAGGCAGCGCCAATGCCAGGGCCAGGACCATTAACTATGTAAAAGGAGGTAGACACACAATTTCAAGAATTTGAAAATATTATATTAAGGGTTGTATTTAAAGAGAGAGGAGCTATCTCTGGAGTAGAGGAATAGTGGTATGTATAGCTAAAAAAATAAAGAAGGGCTTTAACTTGAGAGCGTGAGTCATCTCAGCATGAGGAGTCCGTCATCTCAGTCATAATGAGGGATAAACCATACGCAACAACAACAACAAAAAGTCACTTTGGTTACTTGCATTGCTTACGTTTGATGCTTGTCTTTCATATTTGCTGATCAGACCGAGACCCGCTGCTGTCAGCATTGTTGTTGCTGTTCTTGGGGAGTGCGCAATGGAATGAGGGATGTAAAGAATTGGGAGAGCGAAAAGAAGATCGTAAAAGCAGATAAGCCAATTGCGACTCCGCTGCACTCGGTGCAGAATAAACAAAAAATCAAAGCAGACTGCTATTCTGACATATTGTATACATATGTACATATACATATGTATGTACACATGCATGTACAGTGGGTGACAAAATTCATAAATTATAATTTATAAATAAATATATATAAATTCCTTAGAAATATTAATTTATATTTCATTAGGTAAAATCCTAAAATCTAGTTCCCTCTTATCTGTTTAGAACCTCCAAACCAATTGCCATAACAAGTATAATTACCATAATCGTAGGATTATCCCAAGATACCAACAACTCACCAGTTCATTACCCATGACCCCAAAACAACAATTTACTTGCCAAAAACTTTTATACACATTCGAAGCATCCTAACACTGTGACAGCTGCTGTGACGATCCCCAATAACCATCCACCGCCATTAATCTTTATATGAAACTAATTCTGAAGTCATCTAAGCCTCCGAATTAACTAGCAGTTCCTTTGCAAGTGGCGGCTCATCATTAGTTTCGTCGAAAACTTATATTCCTATGAATTGATAGGCATTCAAGTGCTTTGGCGTTTTCAAAAGCTGTTTTCCCCACCAACAATCAAGGGTTCCCAGCTGCAGCTGAGCTACAACTGAGCAACAGCTGCGACCGAGCGAGAACAGAGTCCTGTCCATGGAGCTCTTTCAAATGAATTATAGCAAAAAGGGAACAGAACAGCAACAAGAACAAGAACAAACTTTTGCATTA